ACCAATTAGGATGCTTCTTCCTGTCACGCGACTTAGCACCCTGGCATAATGTCGGCACGTGCCATGAGCGTGGGCCTTTAAAAATGATAAAAAGGGAACATCGTTTCCGGTTTCAACGACAACGACATCGGAACAATGATTCGTTCGAGCCTGGTTTGATGATCTTGAAGGTCATCGAAGATCACACTGGATTCTTTTGCTAAGATTTCTATCAAAATAGTTGCCACCATTAATTTGCGAACCGTGAGAACAGGTACGGTGATAGATGTCAAAGTGAGATATTGTTGAACATAACTAAAATAGTACGTATTTAAAATTCAAGTGGAGTAATATCTTTTTAAAGAAAGTAAATGAAAAATAATTAACCAATTATATATTATTGATTAAAATATATAAAAGCCTGATAAACAGAATTTTACGGAGCACACAATTCATAGTTTTATGTATCGATGGACCGACTAAAAGAGGTTCGCGACAGTCGTAGGGGTAGAGGGTTAAAAGAGTCCGCGCAAACATCTCGTACATTATACGAAATTTCCACCCCACGGAAACCAGCCAATAAAACACTCCCGGAACACGTCGTCCACTCGTCCTCCCTCTCTTCGTTCGTCTATAACTGCATTGTCGAAGTTTTTTTTTCGTTTTTTTTTTCCTCGGCAACGTTCATCCTCGTTCTCTGTCTTTATTCGTTCTCCACCACCACCACCCCTTCATCCTCCACCTCTTGTCGTTCTGTAGTTTCCTTTTTTTCCTGGGTTCTCGAAGAGCGCACACCCCCTCGATTACATTCGGAAATATTAGGGGACGTCCCGTCGTTCGACAAACTATCAATTTATTTTCGGCTATTGATTGGCATGTCTCGATGAGATACACTGACCCTGCGAGATTTTTATCTTCTCGCATACATCTTCGTGATGCTTGCATTCCGCGATGCATCCTTGATCTCTAACAGTTTAACCGAATCATTATACGTGGTAAGTTGTTACACAAATAACATGTGTAACGATGTATTATTTACATGTAATTACTTTTCTAATTCTCATCGGACAAAAAAATATATGTTAAAAATTTTTATGAAAGTTGAAAATTGTGAAACGAATAGAAAATATTTATTCGAGATCAAGTTTGGCTAAAAAATTGTTAAGTGAAATCTCGATTTCGTGCGAGCACGATACGCAGTAAAACGTGCTTCTTGCCGACCTTGCCGCAGTAGGTACATAGAGTAAAAGTCGGTGGACTATGTCCAAATCTATAGATTACGGCTGGTCATATAAATCATGGGACTCGGGCTCGGTAGCGGGTTGAATGTTATCTCCTGCTTCCGGTTCGGCGCACCGCCGACATTTCGCGCACACCGCCGCTCGTGCTCCGAATATTCTACGTATGGTGACAGTTTCGTTTTGTACACAGCAGCAGGAGAAATCGCCACAAAGCATATGCTGCCCGCTGTCCACTCCATTTACCTCGCTACATCATCCGCTATGATGCAGGACGGGGAGATAAGGGACGCGGAGGGATCAAGGGAACCCTTTGTATCGTATCCCGCTCCGATAGGAAAAGTGGAGCAGCGATAGATATTCCTAAGTGCATCCTAATTTACGTTTCATACACGATTTATGTACTTGCAATATGATACAAGGTGACAACCCGTGACCTTAATGTTAATAATAAGTTCTTTGATAACTTTGGGATTAAATTTAGACATTTACTTTATACATCGAAAATGCTGAGAGTTGAAATATCAAGACTCCTCGTGTTATAAACAGTTGAAAAAGAGTATTATGATAATGATTATGAATTGTTTAAGAAAAGATTGATTCCAAATGAAATGATTGATAAAATCTGCTATTAAATTTATAGATAATTGTTAATTGTTTTTTAACTCTTGATGTTATAGACTTACATCACATGAAATATGAAACATATATATACACTTGTAAATATATAATTAAATATAATGTAAATTGCATAAGATAAAAATTTCCGATGATAAATCATATTTGATTATTCACGCAGATATAAGCAATCATGATCCCTGTTTTGGCACATTATCGTTTTTTGCGATTGATAAATAAAATTTCCCAGAGTTGATACATCAATCGTCTTTTATTACGGAACTTGATAAGACATCGTGGTGGTAAACTGATTATTTTAATCACAAAAAAATCCCAAGATAAAAAGTACCGATTTAAATCCACTATCAGTTTTTGTCGATCGAGCGAATTATGCAACTCGTATGTATGTGGCGTCATAACGCGAATAATGAAAAGTTTTTCTGAGGGTTGCAGAAGTCAAACGTGATCCCCATCGAGACTCGATGGGGCGCCCTCAGGAAATCTAAACCGGTAACAAGATGGCTGCTCGGAAACGGAAACCGGAAGCTTGTCACTCAAGCTACGTGGACTTCCGACGTGTCTCGAAAAAAGGGAAACGGTTCTGAAACGTTCGAAGAGGAGAGAGAAAGAGAAAAATAGAATTATTTCGAATGTATTGTTTCGTTATGTTCTTTAAAAAAAACGAAAAAATTATGATATCAGTGAAATTTTTAAACCTTTGACTACATTTTCTTTCATACTAATTTTATCTACAAAATAATGCAAAACAAAGTTATTCTTGATTTAGTATATTTAGTATATAAGTAATTTAGTATATAAATATAAATTTAGTATATAAAATTTTTTGATGATATGATTTTATATAATTTAAAGTATAATAAAAAATAAGAGAGAGAAGAGGGAAAAAGGGAAAAGAAATATGAATTAATTTTTTAAAATTGATAAGGAGAAACATTTAATTTCATAAGATCCAGATTTATTAAATATGCTTCTGATATATTACTATATATATGCTAATTTACTATATATTATACACAATGTACATATATACAACTTACGAATAATTGATTAAAGATGAAACATTGGGACATTCTTGCGATACAATTAATGTTAGGATATCGCAATTCTCTGATTATTATATTATAATAATCATGAAATATTAATATATCAATATTGTACAGATGCACTATTTTAAAATTTAAATATTTTAAATTTAAGATAACAATTTACAAAATCGGTACTAATATCAACACATTATTTTGTTTCCGTAGCAAATTTGTCTTGTTTTAATTAACTCTTCAAATATGTAACGAAATCGTCAACAGAGCATTTATTTTCAAGAATAGTTGTGGAAATAAAAGCGGTTCTATTTAGTTGTATGTTATAAAAGTCAGTTGTATATCATAAAAATGTTATACTCGTTAAATGTATTAAATGTATTTTCAAATTGATCTCTATTTTCTTTTTCAATGAAGGGAAGTCTATCATGAGACGTGAAAATATCGGCAAATATAAAATCACAAATTTATAGTTATGTTGTAAAACTCTACCTTGAGAATCTATCAAATACCATATATTGTTTGACAATCCTTTGAGAACATGAAGAAAAATGTGCCGAGTTTATATTAGTTATGATTTGTGAATAAATGTCTACATTAAACAGATTTTCCAACGATCTAATTACAGTGAATCACAATTGAGTCACAAATTTTAACCTCGATCCGTTGTGGCAGTAATCCATTTTTATGTTCCATCATTCGGAAAGAGTCATTAAATGCGCGTGAATGCTTAATTATGCAGTATTAAGTTACACGACATTGTGCATTTTAGAATTAAATTGAAATTCCTTGCACTTACAAGATATTCTTTTGTGTAATACACGCTCTAAGAACTAATTTGAAATCTACATGAATCATTGTAATCTACATGAATCATGTGTAACAATCTGTACAAATATCTTAGTTCATAAGAACGCGACACCGAAGTCTAATGAAATTTTCCTATGAGTTTTCTTACATCTATAATTATTTACCTATTTACGTCAAACTAGTTCATCAAACATGAAAGCGATCTTTGGTTTCTGACAATAATCATACTGTTTTTAATTCCTTCATAAATATTAACACTTATTGTAAAAATTCCAAAGTAACCGCAATCTTGAATTTTAATTACTTTTAATTGAAGAAATTAACATTATGAGTGAATAATTCGCGTTTTTTAATTACTTATAAGTTTGTTAAACTATTTTACGTTACAACTGAATCCTGCCTGTAATGTGTCAAAAAAATGTTGTCAATTTTCAAATTATCAGTATCAATATTATTTCATATTTTAAGCAAATAATCATGTATACGTCGTACACGTAAACTATATATTTTATATAAATGACTAATATTTTTCAAGAATATCCTTCGTACATAGATATCAAATTATTTTATAATTTTCTTGTCGTGCGAGATATCCTCACTCTCAATTGCTGAAACATTATATAATTTCGTTTAATATCACGAAAGGATTGAAAAATATTAGATAATAATTGATATATTGATTGATAAACAATTTAAAAAAATTCATATCTGAAAGATGCCGATACTCAATTTTACTCAACTTTGACGAGATCTTTTTTAAGATACCGACCGTTTTTAATTCAATTGGACTCGTTGGACGCATATGTTAAATTCTTTCAATGTTTTGTAAAATGTTGTATTTTCTTCACTTTTACTTTGAAAAGTACAATTACCCCTTAAATACACCCGATGGATGTTGAACATATCGTCATTCCAATTCCAGAAATGATTTAAGTTTCCATCTCATCATATGTTCATCTTGTTCGTTGCAACAAGAGCTCGATTAGATATGCACTAGAAGTCGAATCACGCGAGAATCAATAGAGAATCCAAGTTTGTCTCATCAATCATTGCTTGTTCAGCAATCCAACCCTTATTTCTCTGCTGACTTAATTCTCTTAATTCTTCCACTTCGTATTATCCTTCTATTAAAATATTATCAACGATGATATCTGATGATATCATTGGGGACACGGAACTCATAATCATCACCACTATCATTACGAATCTTCGAACGTTTTTACATACTTTGACATCACTTCCATAGAATTATCCACGCCTTCTATCTTGAATTTTTTATTTGTCTATTCCTTCTATCTATCTTCTGTCACGACTTTTGTCACGGCAATATCTTTGTTAGGAATTTTCATCGATTCGCGCAATGATTACCGAGCAGCACGGACCATCACAGATTATTCCAAATTGTCTCTTCAGTCAACTCTCAGCCAGTTGTTCTACCACCAATATTTTTGCATGTACGGCGCCATAGGAACCTGACCGCTTCCAGGATACGCGGTAGGTTCTATCAGCTTGGATTGGCAAGGTTTTCCGTCTCTCACCAGCACCGGCACGGCGACTCTTCTGGGCGAGCAGCCGCTGCCACCGGTTTCGACGCGCTCGCTCGCCGCTCTCTTCGTCTTGTACCTGTGATTCTGAAACCAGATTTTCACCTGGGTCGGTGTGAGACGAATGAGGGAGGCCAAATGCTCTCGTTCGGGCGCGCTCAGATAACGTTGTTGGCGGAAACGTCGCTCCAGCTCGTAGGTTTGCGCCTTGGAAAACAGCACACGTCGCTTACGTTTCTTATGCTCGGTCTCGTGAGGCTGCGTTTCGTTGCCGGTTTGCTGCTCGTCCTCGAAGTCCTGCGACTCCTCGTCCTTCGACTCGTGACTGTTCTCCTGCTGCGACGGGAACGACATGTCTGAGATGGCCGGACTCGTCGAGTCTGGTTGTTGAAGAACTGAAAAAGAAAAAGAAGAAAAAAATTAAATATTATTTAATAGCCAAATTATATTTTAAACGTAAAAATATTAACCGAGAAAGAGCGTGGCATGGTAGGCAGCGTCCTGGTCTATTATGCTAGATGTCCCGGATTCGATTCCCGGCAGAATCAAGAATGTTTTTCATACGTGTCATCTCGTGTCTTCTCTTCGGCGGTCTGGCAAATTGTCAAAAATATGGCCAGGAACACACACTTCTGCATAATACATAAGAAAATGAAGCAATCATAATTTTTACACCTATAATAAAAATAAAAGACTCTGATTGGTTGATTCTCTTATGCATTATGTCTTATGCAAAAGTATGTGTCTTGGCTCTATCTCTTTGCCACAGAAACCTCTCTCAATCAAGCCGTTCGGATTCGGCATGAAATTGTAGATATCCCATATGCCTGTGTACAATCTATGCGCGCATCACAGTAAAGTATATACGTAAAACGAGAGAGGTAAGTCTAGGCTCGACAAATCTTATAAAATACAATAGTTAAGGTTTTACATGGAACTATGGATCCAATACTTTCGGTTTTAATTAGTAGCAATTTTATTCGGGGGCTCGAGCCATGCTTCATGCAATCTCTTCTGCCGCGTAACAGGAGGAATACTCGTATATTTGTCAGTGGCGTGTCACCACTGCAGTCCGACTTGCATCCATCGAGTGAGAGGTCAACATTGCTTTGGACGTGGGGATTCGAGAATATACATATACTATATATGTATATTGTAATATATGTATATATGTGTATGACATTGGATTGTTTAACATGTTATTCTAAACACATTATTGCGATAAATATCATCACATGCATCTGTGATCAAAAGGATAAGATGCCTGCCCGGTAAGCAGGAAATCGAGATTTGATTCCTGGCTGAGATGATATTTTTTAAAAATAATAATTATTTTTACGACTGGTTCATGGTCGGGCCCCGTTGTGACCTACATCCTCCCTTCTTATTGGAGTGTTTGTTTTTTTTTTATCATTAATGATATCGGTCCTGTTGCTATTTTTCTACACATTATTATGTAGATGTTAATGTAATTAAGCTGTCATTATTAAGCTATTATTAAAATAAATAAGTTAAATGATGATGCAAGTACGTTTAGTAATCGACCGACTCAATTACTTGATTGAGGAACTGCAGCTGCATCTCGATTCGCTACGACGGCCAACGCCGTCGATTGCTCTTAGCGTTGATTACCGGCAGATGTTAGTCTGAATCGATTTTTTTTAATAGTTCTTCTAATCACACGTTAGACAATTAACTCTTGTAATATACCGAATTAAACTTCATATAGAATGAATTCAGCTTTTATTTTAAATAAGCTTCTATCATAATATATCTTGTATTCTAATATTTATATCTTTTCCTACGACCCTAAATAACGAGAAAATTTATTTTTCAATTAATTTTGAGAATAGAAAAACGGTCGACTACACTGGTTATTACAATATAATTCGCAGTTTAATGCGATGTAATAAAGGACTGAATTTAAACAATACGTAAAATATGAATATGAATGATGATGAAGCAAATGTCACTATAATTATACTGAGAAATAAATAAATAAATATATATATATATATATATATATATATATATATATACATACAATAACTTCATTTAGCAAAGTGTGAGTAAATGTTACGACCGAGATACCGGCTAATTTCGTGTACAACGTCGTGATACTGGCTTTCGCCATAGTACAATATGCTTTTGTGAGCGACCCCTGAAACCCGCTTGGGGAGGGTGTGAACCAATATAAAGCCTATTTGATACCCCTGCTGGACCCCATGGGATCAACCATATCATTTTCATGGGAGATTAGATCGTGCTTGCAGTCGCACTGTGATTTCAATTAGACACTCGCCGTCGACTAATGTCTCCGAAGAAAGCTACGCGATGGCGGCGAAGGAAGGGATGATCTCACTAATTTAAATTGCAAATTATTCGTCAGAAAGGAAATAAATCTTTCTTGAGTATATTATCTTTAAACAAATCTAAAATATATGAATAGTTGCATTATTTTGACTTAAACTCGTACATTGAGAAATTTAATAAGCATCAGATTATGACAATTTTACTTTATTTAATCCATTCTTCAATTTCGAAAATAGTATATTACTCTAGTATTTTGTCTACACATTTGCAAATCATCTTCGAGAATTCCGTAATGCGTTATCCACTGAACAATGTAAACACCCGATATAAAAGAGAGCCACTCAATCGTGCTTCTCCCCTCTTTACCTGCTACAAGACCACAATTATTCGTGCGCGATGCGTTTCTTAACGGCGTTCGACACGTCGCCGGATTTTTCGCTCGTGCAAATCGTGACCACTAAAAAAGATAAAGGAGATGAGAACGTGAGAGAGCGGGATAGGTCGCCGACGAATTTTTTGGGCGTGACGATACCGATTCATCGGAAGGCCGGGGACACACACGGGGCCCTTCTCTCGCATCTGTCCCCGATTCAACATCTGTCCTTCATCGCGGACCAATCGTTGTGCGGTGCCCACGAGGACCTTTTACAGAACCATTAGATCCTGCTTAACCCTCGCGGACCAATTGTAGGGTGCTAAATAAATAAGGGTTTCCATCTCGCGCCCCTTTTCCTCGTCCGCCCGCAAAGCGCGTGTGCGTCTAACGAAGAAAGAAAGAGAGCGAACTTGCACCTCCAACGATAGAAATTGCAACGTCGGATGGGCTTAATTTCTTAGGGTGCAAGTGATAATGCAGCCAAAGAGTGATTTAGTTCACTTTCTTTGAGAAATTAATTGTAATTTCTTTTTTTTTTAAACAATTAATGGCATTAAATGCGCTTTTTCAATAGCATAATGGGATTATTATAATAATTATCATACTGCCGCGTGCGTCCCCGATTTCTAAATCATTAAATAAAGAATAATTGTACCATTTACTTCCTCTAAGGGTTGAGGCAACGCCGTCGGTAGTGCTGGTCCAGTTGGCCATCCTAATAATCCAGGTGGAGGCGGTGGTAGCGTACCCCTGTTCAGATTGGCATGCATAGCTGGTTGCAGCATGGCGGTTGTCTGTTCTAAAATTTGCTGGTAAGCCGACGGCATATCGGTGGCCGTTGGTAAAACCGTCGTGGCACCTAGAACACAAAATTATCATAAATTTAAAGTAAATTATATTAAATTCACTTTTTTTTAAAATATTTATGAAATATTTAACAAAGAAATTTTGAAAGCTTTGCAATTTTCCTGATATTCAAATGAAATTAAGGCAGATAGTAATCGAATTGAATCACAAGAATAAGAATTGATTAAAATAACAAAACTACTATATTTTATAAATTTCGTTATTTCCAAAGTAATAAAGTGATTAATAATATTAGATCGATTTTTTTTAAATAATATTTATTTAAACATGATAATTTTAATATTACCTTGCATGTCTGTTTCTTCCTGCGACGGTTTGGTATCGTTTAACTCCAAAATGTCGCTAATAGCAAAACCAGAAGGTCTAGTTGGCATTTTCATGCTTTCCAATATCCTGTAACAAAATGTTTAATAAAAAATTATATAAATATTATAATGATCTTACACAAATATAAAAGAAAATTTATTAATGCAATGTTAAAACTTGTCTATATAACATATAACTTTGTGGCATATTTATCGTCATTATCATCATTATCACCACTTATTATCGCCGCTTATTATCGCCATATTGCTGTTTTTGTTAAACTTTCGGAATGATGACGTATACAATAATTATGAAATCGTTATACCTCCGTTACTAACAACTTATTATAACGTTCATTGGCGATCAATTATTATCTTAAATATCTCTTTTTTTTCCTTTTTAATAAACGTACATATCGTATATTCGTCGATATTTTAGATAAAAACTAAAATTAGCTACAGTTTGCAAAGAGATTTTGCGAGTTGAGAAGTCGAACACAAAGGTCACTTCTTGACGTTAAGATTTAATTTTCCTGATCACGGCTGGTCTTGAAAGGTGTGTGACGACGGCTCAAAAAGCCACCGGTTCCTTTAAAGCCCGATTAAAGAAATTTCTTTAAGGTTACAATACCTGTGCGTGTTTGACACTCGCAACCTGTCTGCGAACCTGTATATAAAGGCGAATTTTTGGGTCCGTTTACTAAGCCTCACAAACTATTATCTCGGTCACGTCCGGCTATCCCAAATATACCCGGCATCAAAGTTTCCGGATAAATTTTTTCCGAATGTATTTCTTATAGACAGGCATGTAAAAACTGTCGTGAATACAAAAAAATTTACGATGCTTTGGAATAATTATTATTTAAGTTAATTTTTTATTACATTATATCTCGTTTTTCATTACAAACGTAATGAATATTGATTATTGATGTGGTTTTTATTTAACAAAATTTTGTGCATAGTTATTCGTATAAATTCAAGTTATTTATTTTATCAGATGTACATGTAATACTGAGGTAGTTATGTAAAAATCGGGTTAAAAAAATCAAAAGAGAAACTCGACATTAATCGAACTTCATACAAAAAAAACCGATAATTATTCGGAAGTACCAGCATTGAAATCGCCCGCGATTTCAATCTCTTGTAATTATGAAACTGTTACATCACTTTGATTGTGAACTTAATTTTTATTATTCTTTTACAGTAAAATCTATTTATACGCCCAAAAATATATAATTCTGAGTTTCTTTATATCACATAAATGTACAAAAATATACAATATCATTATACATAAATATACAATATTTGTTAACATTTTAAGTTTGCCGATAGCTTAAAACATGTTTTGTCATGTAAACATAAAGTATTTAGTGGCGATTTTTTGTCGCGTGTAAGGTTCAATCGATAAGTGATGCGTGTTTCAGTAAGCATTAAGGATATCGATAACCGAACTACTTGGCGATATCGCACGATTACGCGCGATATATCTTATTGTTAATGAAGTTATGTGTAATAATTCGAGGGTTATTAATCGATTGATCGTGTAAAATATTATAAATATTATAAATATTATAAATATCTAATATTATAATATATATAAAAAAATATTATAAAAAGTGAATGTTTCGGTTTACTTATCATACGTGACCGTTTATTACATATATAATTAAAATTAATAACTTTAGGCGCTTAAGAATATATCAGAGAAATTAAAATTATTATTTCTAATAATATAATATTTTTGATACGAAACATTAAATGTTAATCTTCTTAAGACGAATAATAACAGAGAGAAATCTGAAAAGAAAAGATTAAATATAAGAATTTTTTTATTTGTTTTATTTACCTCGAATTTAATGCAAGTTGACTGTACCACACGTGATTCAGAAAACTAGCTGGATATGGTAGTAATGGCCAAGGCAAAATCTTACTTTTGTCAGCCATTTTGAGAAGATTTTAAAGATTTCGAATTATTATTATAAGTGTCAGTACATATTACACCCTTTAATAACGGCACATCTTCAGGTTTAAGTCTCTCTTAATTCATCACAGATCCGATTTTTGTCTGTAATTTTTATTTTCTTTCCTTTTTGATTAATTTAATAATATTAAAATGAAAATTAAAATATCTTCTCACATTAATTTAGGGATTTTTTTCTTTTCTGTCTTTTATTTATTTATTTTCTTATTTTGTCTTCTCTTGTTTTGCATGATACGGATGAAAATTGATGAAATTTTCGTCTTTTTTGCTTTGCACTATGCACATGAATTTTTAATTTATTTGTTATTTTAATTTATTTTTAGTAATATTAATGATGTATATTTCTTTATTTGTATCAATATTTTGTTTAAGTAACTTCTTTAAAAATATTTCTTTAAACTCTCTGCGATTGCCACTGCCCATGATATTCTTGATTTTCCTTTTGTCTACATTTTCTTCCAATTTGGTCACACAACACTGTTAAAATTTTTTATTTGATCGTAAACAACTTTGGCTTTTTATATCATATGAGTTTGGATATGCATAACAAAAGTTTTTGCACATGAATAATTAGTTTGATTAATCCAATCACCAATGCTTATATCGTTTTCTTGAGAAACTCGCAATTCGCAGTTCGTCACTATCACAAGTAACTAACGACGGGTTGCACGAAAGTTATGACTCTCTCCAAGTGGCTCGAAAAGCAGGCTCGGCCGATTCCTTTTCGGAGCCGCTGAAGGACTCTCCTTGTACTTTTTGAGTGTCCTCGACGAACACTTGACGGCTAGTGTTCCCTACCTCGAGCAGTTTCGCTTGTCAAGCACCCTCAAAGCGCAGGGCGGGTTCTACGTGGAGGCGGGGATTTCTCGTTCATCCCCCCAGCTAGCTTTTCGTCGCGTATCCCACCCTGCCATTGACACCTGGTGGTAACTTAGGGAAGGTTTCCCGCAGGAGTAGCTCGGAATAGAAAAACGTTGTTGCTTCCTTTTTCGTTGTTATCATTTTTAGAAATTTCACTTATTTAAAAAATAAACTTGTTGGTGTTGATGATAGTTCTAATAAAAATTCAATCGTTTCATTTTCTTTAAGTTCCAAATTCTTTATTAAAATTCGATAATTTTTAAATCTGTAAAATAATTTGTTTTCGATAATTGTAAGTAAAATGAGAAATATTTGCAAATTTTTTAAGAACTGATTTGATTGCAAATATTTAAGATATTAATAACTCAGAATTCTTTATTAAGATAAATTTTAGTTTGAAGTTTGTGCAATTTTTTTTCTTAAGTATAACTCAACATATAATTTTAGCGAAACACTTACTAACATGATTTATCATATCTTTGCTTACAATTATTGCGTTTACTTAAATTTTTATATATGTAAAAGCAAGTTTCACACTTTGTTAGCATTTGCAATCTAGCAAAATCTTGCCACTTTGAGCGATCTTACGAAGGGTATCCCTCGTTCGGGGAACTCTGTGTGACTGGTAATGTTACCGGGGCAAGTTGCCGAGGGGTGGTGCCGTCGGTCGACCAATAGGGTAGTCGCGTGTCGGGAAACCCTCGCCCGACTGCCCGGGGGTTGATTTCAATCCAGCTCGGCGAGCGGGCCAATCGCCGGGCTTCATCGATCAGGGGCTTTTTACACCGAGAGCATACTTTACGTCGAGTGTTAATGTGAAAGAGCATTAGCGGTGCTTTTACTGTGTCATTTCGATTTTTCACTCGCACCCCCTCCCTCTGCACCCCCGTCCTACTTGCTCTCTTTCTTCCTCGTTTCTCGTGGCACTCAGATCGCTTTCTATTGATACGCAAAACTGGGTTACAAGCGTGGTCGCGACGGCGAGTATTACACAAATCTCGCGAACGAGATACGTATGATCAATCAGTTCGATTGTCCTCTTTTAGAAACTTGTTTGCTCGAGCGAGAAGCCGAAGGGTGTAAATTCGAGTATAATTGAAGGGGCAAAAAAATTGAGAGTGGGCATATACCTAAAATTTCAGGAAATTCGAGGTATTTACGTTTATTAAATTAATAATGCCACGCATAATATTAAATAAAGTGTCTTAAATTTTCTACAACAGTATAAAAAGACGAATTTTCCCTAGGTGATTATCTTTCTTATAACTTGTAATTATTAATTATTATTAACATAATCACGCAGTATATTTGATTCTTTTAACACATTTGTGATTCTTTTTAGACATTACTCATTGAAATAGGAATTTCCAACGAAAGACAAAATCAAATAGAAGATATCAATCTAAGGCTGTAATCGAAGAAATAATTGGATAAAGTAAGAAGATTGTCTCGACAGTTAAATAAACCCAACATAACTCAGGCGCAGAGTGTGACGGCTAATTTTATAGTGAGACATTTATTACGCGTGCATTCCGTGACGATCGATCCTCTTTTTTTCTTCGATAATCGTGACGTTCGCGCGCGCGAGAAAAAAAAGAATATGTCGGCGCGCAACGAGGCAAGGCTGACCTGATTTCTTTTTTATATCCACCCACTCATTTATTATTCGTGGACACGCATTTGTTACGACGTAACGATAGATAAAGTCCGTTCGTTTCGTGATTATCATTCGACGCAGCACGTATCGTCATCCTCAGAATTACGCATAAAAATAATTTCGCGGCTCTCCGATGCGATTTGATCGAATCAAATTTGCTTCGTGACCTTTTTTCGCGACGTTTCGATCGCAGATAAAATATTATCGGTAATACCGAACCATATTGCACGTCAGAATCGTACAGCGTTATTGATTACTGAAAATGCCAAGATATTGTTATGCGTCATAAAATATTCTGTTGAATTTTTTTGCGCAATATAGTGCGTGTATTTTTTTTATAACGTTAAAATGATTGATACATTAGACAAGATGGAAGCAAGACCACCATCTGCAAAAATTTTTCACAGTCGGTTTCGTATTTTTTTGACATCTCTAATTTATTCCAAATACTTCTCGTATCTTAAACTATCTCGTAGCTTAAATCTTAAGAAATATCTGAGTGCTCCGTTTTAAGGGAGAGAGAGATCACACTTTTGATCACGATCGGCCGATGCTCCGAAATTGATGATTCATTGAATTCGATGAATGC